TGATTCACTGTTATGCGGATTACCGCTTCGTACTGCTGTTACAAAGGGAAGATGGTTCCCTAGAACGAACGGCAGGGAGCATAACTCTGATTTGTCTGACAGCTGGATCAACGGGTCAGTTACTGAACCAGTCAGTGCTTAGTTGGCTGACACACTGGTCACGTGTCCAATCATACCAATGTTTTTAGAGTACTTTACCTAGCAGTGGTCTAACTACCGAGGTCTGTTCAATATCACAGTCTGGCTATAGCTAAGGCAATGGTGATTCGTCCACGTAACTCGGGCCACTGCACTCACAAAGCGTCCGTACAAGTAGACATCCATGATCTCCCCCACGCGACCGCCGGTCACTCGCTTCGATCAACCGTGATGTAAACAGTTCTCAAAACTTTACCCGAAAAATCTGTTTTGTCCTTGTTTTTCCCACATGTGGTGTTTACCATTGGTTTCAAAAACCCTCAATCTGTACTCACCAGAACAATAGAGCGAAACCATTCACATTCGCCAACTCGTGTTCCAAACACCCACACGACAAAAAGAATGTTCGAGACCAAAGGGTAGAACCGGTTTGAACGATCTTTCTACTTAGCATTGTTGTAAAATGCCGTTATCCCAGACAAGGCTCACATCATTCCTGAGATGAAAGTATACCATGTTGCACCAAATGAGAAAGCACCATTGCATTACCAAAAACGATTATCGAGAAATACACCCATTTGCAAATCAATTTCTCGTTTATGCTATTCTACAACTGAATGTTTTGCACACAGGCCGCCTCATTATTCAATTGGCATGACATTCAAGATATCGCAGTATATTTTCATCAAGGAAACTATTCACAAGGTTGCTGAAAACTCTTCGACAGCCCACGACCGGTTTCGCCTTTCTTGGGGCTCATCAGGTAGGCGCAGTTCCCGAGTTTTCGTCAACCTTATGTTTTACCTCAAATCAAATTGCACGAAATTGGCGAATATACACTCATTTGCAAACTAATGTGGTTTTTCGAGAGATTCACCTGGAACCCAGCTGAATCTCTCAGTTTCCTGGACACATCACAAACGAAGGATTCAGCTGGGTTCCGGGTGGGTCTCTCGAAAAACCAAATTAGTTTGCAAATGAGTGTATTCCGCTAATTCCAACAAGTATTTTTTTTCATTCCAGTAACCATTTACTTCTCATTCGGAGGTGAGATTTGATGCCTCACTTGCAGCAGTAATGACCTTCAGATCGTCCAACCACTCACTCGCATGGAGTTGAATTCTCATTGGCAAACTACTGAGAGCAGGTCAGTAGGGGGTTGAATAACATATCTTGTGCTCAGCGAGAAATGTGAATCAACTGAAAAATTCCGTCGATTGTCTTGGTCGGGCAATGTTCCATAAGTAGTGAGGAATACAGCTCAATGATAACATGTCACTGGTGTGTGTACTTCAGTTGGTCACATGAACAACCCGACTAAAGAATGCCCAGCACTAGTTTCCAAAAGTATATATTTTTGTGGTTGTATTGTGGAGGTTGACTCCATCTCAAATGCTTTGTTTCTGTCTTGGGATCGATAAATTCCATTTCTCAAAACTCGTCACCTGATGGAATTACCCAACTCCAACTTTTCTGTTCAAAGTGCCAGGTTCTTCAATAGCTAAATCAGAAGGTATAGCTTCAGAGAGGTTAGGTAAGCAATTGATTCAGAAGATGTATTCTTCAAAACCACACGGGGACCGTCACATTGACAAAGCCAGGCGCATTCTAAGATGGAGATTTAGTTTGAAATGCAATTTTTGCTCGTTTGTCTCATTGGTGACCATCGGGTTGGTTTTACTTCAGATTACATCAATCCAATG